TTCCAGTACTGCAAGCCATAGCATAGTAATGAGCAGGTGACAATGGCGTATGAGACTATGGCCAAAAACTGAAATAGACTGAAATAGAAGGCATTAGCCTTAGGAGTTACTGGGTCATGAACAGGCAGGCTGTCGCGAGACCATGGAATATTCAAACGAAAGGAACTGATAAGTGCCCCTGGTATATCACCGTCATGTATGCGTTGAAAAGATAATGGTCCAAGAACATCGTTAGACCGGAACCTGATCAATGCCGTAAGTACCATCAGGATTTTATTCTATGGATTAACTGAAGTCGAAGCCCTTCACACAAACCAGTTCTTGAGGAGCATCCCTCTCCGGTATTTTTGTAAAACAAATCGACGAATTGACATAATGAGTTGCTGAGCGACAGCAAGTGAGATCGCTCAAACCGCTACGGCGAGCATTCCAACTTGAAGTGTAGGACCCATGTTCAGCTTCTTGTCTGTGTCTGTCGGCATTACAGAAATATCTGCTACAAGTTTCATTGTTTTCGCTTCTGTATCGTAGCGCCATTTCAAATATGGTCCCGGCATGAAGTTATCATTATCGTCCCAGGCAGCAACCCACGTTTTGCCATCATCAAGACGGAGAAACCAGAAAGCCTGCATTCGCGTTGTCAGTTCCTGTTTTCTCACTTCGCGGCTGGAGCCAGCGGATGCTTCTGCACTGGGCTTCGTGATTGGAATGAAACAACGACGAAGCCGTCGTTTTAGGTCTGATACAAGTATGTATCGGTGGAGAATTGAATTGTAAACAACTGCTTCCGGCAACGACTCAGTTGATCCTGGTTTCGAAGAAGAAATTAAGCCGCTGTAGTCACTATGCGCGTGCGATTCCACGCTAGCCCGCTTGGTTGCGACGTCTTTGCGAATCAGGAACCAACCCTGTCCTGGGGTATATTTGTAAATTCCAGGTACGGGCTCGTTCCAGTGCTCCTCGCGGGAAATTGACCCCGTAATCTGGACTCTGTCCTTGCGACCACGACGTAACAAGTATTTTGGATGGAAGATGTTGCGGGTAAGGATGAAGAGATTGGGCGCCATAAGTCTCCGCAGGAAACGAGGGAGTCGCTGACTAGGCGTATATCAACCTTTTCTTACTATCTTCACTCTCTTTTGAAATCGAAACACAATATTTTACTTGCTTGAAAATGTCAGGGAAGAGGATAAAGAAATGCTGTTGAGGAAGAGGGCCATTCGCAAGGACATAGGTATTAAGTCGGGGCTGAAAGGATGACAGGAGCTTCAAACTGCTGCCATCCGTCTCATATATCGCAGATGATCGCTGTCGTGATTCGTTCTAGGCTTCAGTAAAATCCCAGCTCCACCTCGCCTCATACCAGGCCCACGGGCGCTCCCTTGTCTAGGAAGCTAAGGAAGGATTATTATGTGCTCGTATAAAATATTTCTGGCCCGTGCGAGCGGTGCGCAGTCAGACCAGAGTGATTAACTCACAGAAGCAGCGTACTACTGACCAATTCGCCTCCATCCGTCTAGTTGCTTCCGCATTAGCTCTAGTTCACTATGCCGAGGGTCTCCTGTTTCCTGCTGGCGCGGAATAACGTCTTTCCTCCTTAAATCGTCCACCACCTTCAACCCTCGTCAGCATCTTTTCGACCGAAGAAGCAGAACCTCCTTCTGATGCCGCTTGGACCAACTGGAGAGGGTCTCTTAATTTCCGACTCTGCACTGAGACGCTGGATTATCATCACACACCGCTTTCGCTGAACGTCCCAAAATCGGAAATTCCTTCCACAACACTGTAAGAAAGATCTCTGCCCGACGCGGTTAAACGGGGCAAAATGCTTTGTGGCTATTCACGCGGCAGGGTGCCATTCTTCGTTCATTAGTCTTCTTGCCAAGAGCCACCGACACCTTCCACCAATCAAGACGATACTGGGTATGATTTGTATCCTGGTGATCGATTGACTAAAGCAGTCCTTTTTAGCTAAACCCAACTGATGGCTGGTGTTCTCGTGCGTGCGGCTGTTCCTGTGATCCCACTGCTAAAGCGAGACGGAACCTGAAGTGGAAAAGAGACGGAGATAGCTTCTTCCGACAGGATATTCGAGAAATATCCTGATTAAAATCCTGTATGTCGACGAAACTAATTTCCAACGGGCGGACAAGAGGGAAAAATATGTAGACGCGGGTCGATAGGGTGCCCGCTTTGAGGAAAGGGTGTAGGCTGCTTGCAGCTTGTTAATCCCACATGTAATGTCAAGTTGGACTGCTCGGTGATCGTACAATCGGCAGCCCGGACCGTCCTGTTAAGAATTCTTGCTATATCCGCAGAATGCGTATGACGGGCCCTTTGCCCAGAGTGATTTGCGGGCAAGAGTCAAGCCAGTACTGTCATGCTTGGCAAAGATCTTCCCCGGACGTCGTAAGCGACTATCTTCAGCCACCTCCGCTGCGCATGATTCTAATATCACCGTGGAAGGCAACCGCATGTAATGATTAGTGGCGTATCCCAAATCCTTCTCACTTGAGCAACAAAGGGCCAATGATAAGCATTCGACCATGATTCCAGCGTGTGGTCAGCGCCCAGTGATATGAAGCAGTAACTTAAAAGTCTGAATCATCTGTAGGTCTCCTAAGCACAGGTCTTTGAAGCAATTGTCAGTCCGGCCAATTAGTATCAGAGCGAATCTGTCAGAGATTCTCAGATCGCTCAACAATCAAAATGGCAGTGCACTGGAGTATCGTGATGACCGATCTGGCAGATCCGTGGCGATAGCCTGTCTGGTATGATACCTAGCTGCGGCATCATCATTGCTGGCATTGCTGGCAACCTTTGAAGTACTCTGATCACCTGCGGATCCGGCTACCTCGCGTATGTATGCCGTTAGGTGATTACGGAGGAGGATTGTCTACCTCCCTTGCCAGGAACGTAGTCTTGGATTGATATCCCTTTCAAGACAGGTTTCCTCAGGGGTCTCGCCTACAGACCAGACTAGTCTAGTTAGGGTAAGTACATGCGGAGCTTAATTGAGCTTAATTCTGCCGTTCTAATTATAGATCTATTCTCTACTATGCCTGCTTGCGGCCGACTGGGAACGGTCGAAGTACATCAGATTATGGAGTACCAGACTGAGTAGTCATCGGCAAGGGGCCTGTAGAGAAAAAGAATTGTGATAAAGCACCTAATGGATTTGGTTGAGATGGTTTATCTCGTACCGAGCTTCCGTGTCAGAATCGATCCTGATCAGAGCCTGCCCATCTATCTTGCGAGGCGCGACGGGATTGGTGGCATTCGTCGATAGTAGTCAAGCAGCCATATCTCACTTGCCTGGCCCTACGATATATCACCTACTCTCATCCTTCTCTGACCACTTGTCATAACTTCTCGTCTCACTGTGAGGCTAGTTTTGACGCTGCGAGCCCGAACGGCGACGGCAACGCGCGGACTTCAGTCACACTGCCGTGACGTGAATTTCTGCACATTCAGGCTTTTGCCGCCCCTTTCCCAAGCCATATACGTTGCTGAACAGGATTTGTCAATAGGTACTTATCGTTAGGTCAAAAATAATCTGTTATTCTTTGTTCGGCTGTTTTTCATACTCCTAAAAACCCGTCCACTTTGGAGCCTGACGGCTTACACCGTCTTTAGCCAATCGGAAGTGCAGCTGGCGAAACCACCCCAGTACCTAAGCGGGCCGTGTGCTGACACCGTGTAGTATACCCAGCCGAATGCTTGGTAAGGGTTTATATTTGACTTAACTTTCATTCGCCTGTACACGTTACAGACTCCACTGGCTAGTTCCGAGGTTTGCAAATTATAAACATTCCGTGGTGTGGTTCACATCTAACCACAAGTCTTTGGAGACACCCCTTATCACAACCTGGCCTCAGTCATGACGAGCACACTTCGACGCTTAATGAAAGAAGCGGAAGAGCTTTCTTCCAAATCACCGTCAGCATCTCCCGACTTTACGGCCTACCCAATATCTGACTCTAATTTGTTTGAATGGCACTTTACAATTAGCGGTCCGCCTTCTACGCCCTACGCCAATGGTATATATCATGGGCGAATTACTCTGCCGCAACAATATCCCCTGCGACCACCGTCGTTTAGATTCCTAACACCATCTGGAAGATTTGAGGTTAACTGCAAAATATGCCTCAGCATATCAGGACATCATGAAGAGACGTGGCAACCTGCTTGGGGCATAAGGACAGCCTTAATGGCAATAAGAGCGTTTATGGCGAGTGATGCTAGAGGACAAGTCGGCGGTATTGACGCTAGCGACGAGGTCAGAATGGACTGGGCGCGCAGGAGTACATCATGGACGTGCAACATATGCGGCAAGACAAATGAGGCGATCCTGTATGATTGGAGGAGGGAATTACAAGAGAATGGCATACTTCACCAGGGCTCACACCAGACAAAGGACGAGGCCACTGAGCATGAAGTTCGACAGGAAAGCGTTGACTCGAATGGTAAGGACGCGGTGGGAGGGCATTCAGCGGAGCCACATTTACAGCAACATAACATATCTACGTCGGCAGGTTCAGGAACGGATACAGCTGCGTCGGATGCCGTTGTTACTTCTCACGCTTCAGCTCGATCAACGCAAGAGGCGCAGCAGGAACGTGGACAACAACTACAAGAAGGAGAGATGCAAGAGTTTCCGCGCCGATCAGTTCAAGTTGAACCCTTATCGGAGGATAAGTTTCTTGACCTTGCTATCACAGGCGTTTTCATTGCTTTGTTGTTCATAATTCTGAAGAAAGCTATGTTCTAAGGGAAAAGCGATAGAGGTTGCTGGGCGCGGCTGCAACATTTTTCTTGATGCCCAAATTGCGCATGATAACTAGTAACGTTGCCTCCTAGGGTGGCATCGCATTCCGCGCTCTGCACTGGGAGCTCTCAACAGCGATTTTCTGTGGGTTCAAAATCCGTCGGAATATATCATGGATTAATGTGGAATAATGTGGACTCTTATATTGATGCATTAGAAAAATAAAGAAAATGGGAAGTTGGCCGAGTGGTTATGGCGCTAGGTTTAGGCTAAGCATACCAATCTCTGATTGGTCTGTCACAGCGATCCCTAGTTTCGAAAGATTCGCGAGTTCGAATCTCGCACTTCTCAATTTTTTTCAATCTTGCCCCAGGCATCTTATAGTCAGGAAACACCTAGTTCGTATCTGATCGTTAAATGTGCGCAAAGACTTTTCTATGTTGCGCCTGCATGTTGGGACTGCTAATCCAAAGTAGTATTAATTAACTTGAGTACAAAGTAGTATACAGAGTGTTACATGTACAGCTGACGCCATATTTTTTTTCCCCATATAATCATCCAGGGCTGATGAATGCCATTCAAAACCAACCCTACTGAGGCCCTTTATTGCCGGATCCACATCCACATCCTCCAAAACAGCTACTTCCCACTCCCATCGGAACCCTACGACGCGCCCCAAAACCTTCTGCTTTGGCCATTTCCATCGTCAGGTTCTTAGCTTCATCAAGCCTTCGGATACTCTCCTCCCGCCCAAGGATCGCCATAGTTGACGGGATGCCAATGCCGGGAGTCCCGCCGGATAGCGCCCAACGCAGGTAGTGGTATAATTCCTTCTTGAAAAGCTTCTGATCTATTCCCGACGTGGGATCAACCATGTATGCTTCGATGTTAGATTTATGCGTTTTTGCTGTCCAATGCGATGACGGGACAAGAGTCAGCGCTGCTGCCGCCGTGTATAGTTTGGACAGGGGAATAGTGGGTGATGTGGTTCCGTCAACGGAAGGCTTTGACGGCGGATGGGTGAATTGTGGGCGCTGAAGAACATGCGTGAAAAAGGAGAGGTTTGCATCAAGGAAAGCCTCTGCGGTTGTGTAATTGCGAGCACCTTCTTCGAAAAGCGTACGTACGTACTCATACAATGGGCGCTCCCTGAGAACTTTCGCACTGAGAGCCACGAGTTAGTGCAAGCATAGTTGGCGGTTCTTATCGGCTGTCACCTACAGTTGCTCAGGTGTAAATCTGGCCTGTGTTGCTTGTACAACTTTTTCAACCATGGCCTCGAGACCACGACCACCTTCCTTCGCATATCGCAATGAATGCGCCTTTTGCAGGAACCACATTTTGTCAAAATTGACAATTGCATTTCCTTTGGTCAATTTGAGGTCAAACTGTGAGAGTGTCAGCCCGGAGATCATCAGAAGTTTGGGAGCCAACGACTTACGGTAGAGCGCAATTGTTCTAAGCTAAGAACATCGCTTCTCCCAGAATGAGACCATCCTAGCAGAACCGTAAAGTTTGCTAAAGTCTCAGGCAGAAGACCCTGCTCCCTGAAGGAGGAAATGCCGATGTCATTGTTACGTTTGCTCAATTTCGCCCCTGTCGTGTCGCAGAGTAGAGGAACATGGGCGAATTCAGGGGCTTTCCAGCCGAAGGCTTCATACAGAGCCATGTGCATTGGCGTTGAAGACATCCATTCCTGTATAATAGCTGTCAATTGCTATATCGTTTCTGACTAGTTGGTGACGGGCAACTCACGCTTCCTCGAATGACATGGGTAACTTTCATATAATGATCATCCACGACATTTGCCAAATGGTAAGTCGGATGACCGTCGCTCTTAATTAAAATAGGATCCCCTATTTGACTCGCCAACAACCCTGAGTCTTTCTTTCCAGAACGGTTGTATCCTGTTTTGCCAAAGACAATATCTTCGAACATAGGATATGGCTTTGTGACCTTCAGGCGGATAACGTGGGGCTCATTCCGATGTACGCGCTCTTCTGATTCTTCTGCCGATATAGACCGGCACGCGCCGTCGTAGATGGGTGGCAGACCTAAGTCATTATGGTGCCGGGCGAGCTCGTCCAGTCGTTGAGGTGTACAGAAGCAGCGATATGCTGCGCCACAAGCCACCAACTTTTCTGCTTCCGTTTTATATAGATGCGTCCGCTCAGACTATTACTGGATAATCAGAATACACTCTGGAGGACCACGAAAATCGAGCTCTTCAAACGTAACATACCTGTCTGTACGGACCGTAGGAACCTTTTCCAGGACCTGGCACCGAAATTGATCCCGATAAGCAGCATATTCGTCAACTGATAGATCATTGCAAGTTCTCACCCTCATCCCAATCTAATCCAATCCAGGTCAAATCGTCATATAATCTTTGCTCAGCATCAGGGATTGTTCTTTTCTTCTCCTGTCAGCGCTGCGCTGCCGAAGTAACAAAACAAAGAAGTACTGTACTTGTCTTACTACAACAACGACCTGCCACAAGCATAATACCAACCTGATCTGTATCTTCAACCCTGAGAATAAATTGTCCTTTTGTCCTTCGTGCAAGCAGATAATTGAATAACGCCGTTCGAAGTGATCCCAGATGCAAGTACCCTGTAGGCGATGGAGCGAATCTCGTGCGCGCGGGCGTATCGGGGAGCATCTTGTTCTTCTTCGCAGACCATATTGGGAACGTGGAGAACTGCGCTCCTGGAGGTGCCCTTGTAGTGACCACCGCTGCTAAGACATCTCTGATAGACATGCGACAGCCTCGACAAATCCATCTAGGCCTGCTGATTGAAATGATGCGAGACGACGATGAGCCGATCATCACGACCTATGGTGTTCCAACTTCACTTTCGCAACACGCGACGGCCAGCGAGAAAACAGAACCATGCAATACCCCTTGGAAGATGAGAATGGACAATCTTTGACAATCAGAACTAGATTTAAATCTAGATCTACGTTACCAACATCAGTCTTACTTCGATTGGGCGGTCCCCAGTTCGGCTTATTGAATCTAACAGCGTCAATCAGTCAGTCAGCCAGTCCTTGGCGGTTATTGCGCCGACTTCCCCGTACGACTTTACTCCGCGGAGGAGATGAACATAACGAGAGCAAAAAAAAAGAAAAAAAAAATAACCTCACACTCCAATATCGGTATCGATTACGGTGGTGGCAGCAATTGATGCACAATTTTTGGAGATATTCAATCATTCTTAACGAATATTCGAGCTGTATATTCTTGAGTTGAGCCTGTTAGGTGTTGGTTTGCTCGTTCTGGACTTTTAATCACCTACACGCTTGTGTCCTGATCCTCCTCAGAGCCGATAAGCAACAAGTTAGTAGGCGTCATTGCGTTATACCGATTCTCCAAGGTTTTATTATCAATTGAACGAGAGCACTAACATATCTTTATAGTGTCTGCCGCAGCAGGAGGAATCGACCTTTACGGTAATACATGCGGTTGCGAAGTAATTGATACCCGTCTAGCTAACGGAAAATAGAGATCCTGGGCATTGAACGCTCCGCTACCAAAGATGAAGTGCGGAAGGCTTACAGAAAGGTGATTGCACGCGTTGTCTCAAACAGACGATGGACCTCTCATGGCTGATGGCTTTTATATCGCACGATTAGGCAGCTCTTCAGCACCACCCAGACAAGGTCGCAGAGGACCAACGTGAGCAAGCAGAAGTCAAATTCAAGTCTGTCAGTCAAGCATACGAAATTCTCTACGACGACGAGAAACGAGAGGTATACGATAGATATGGCATGTCTGCATTTGACGGATCCAATAATGCCAATCCTGGTGCTGCTGGCGGCGCGTCAGATCTGGATGATATCTTGAATCAGATGTTTGGCATGGGTATGGGAGGAATGGGAGGAATGGGAGGAATGGGGGGAATGCCAGGTGGTGGACCAGGCATGAGAAAACCAAAAAAAGGCGCAGATGAGGTTCAGGAATATGAAGTTAGCTTAGAGGATTTGTATAAGGGCCGATCGGTGAAGTTTGCCAGCACGAAAAACGTTATATGCAGTCTATGTAAAGGCAAAGGTGGAAAGGAGAGAGCTCAAGCAAAGACATGCAACAATTGCAATGGACAGGGTAAGACAATCACCCATCCAGATACTACATCTACTAACATCTATGTAGGCGTGAAGCAAGTGCTCAAACAGCTCGGACCGGGCCTGATTACACAAGCAACAGAGAAATGTGTCGTCTGCGATGGTCAAGGCAACTTTTTCCAGTCTAAGGATAAGTGCAAAAAGTGCAAAGGCAAGAAGGTTACAGAAGAGCGAAAGGTGCTTGAAATCTATATCCCTCGGGGATCGAAGTACGTGCCGCCTTTGCTCCTATTCCGCCAAGTTATTATGTGCTTGAAAGGTAGCTAATATTTGGAATTCGTCACAGAGCTGGTGACAAAATCGTACTTGAGGGTGAAGGTGATCAAGTTCCCGACGTGGAGCCTGGTGATATTGTATTCAAGCTCAAGGAGATTGAGCACAAAACATTCCGCCGCGCTGGCAATGATCTTCTTGCCAATCTGGAGATCTCGCTCAGCGAAGCTCTTTGCGGCTTTTCTCGCGTTGTCTTAAAACACCTCGATGGACGAGGAATCGAGTTGTCCAGTCCGGCAGGCAGGATTCTCAAACCAGGACAGATTCTAAAGGTCGCCAACGAGGGTATGCCATTCCGCAGAGGCGATGCCAGGGGCAACCTGTACCTTGAGGTGATAATTCAATTCCCCAAGGATAATTTCCAGAGCGGCGAGTGTCTTTTGAAGCTGAGGTCATTGCTGCCCCCTGCTCCTGCTCCTGCTGAGGGCGAGCCAGTAGATGAGGTTGCGTACGATCCTGAAGCTTCACTAGATGATTTTGGTGCCGTGGATGAGCATGGTGCATCTGCTTGGGCCGATGTTGATGATGATGAGGATGAGGAGGGCGCTGGGGCTCAATGTGCAGCGCAGTAAACAGATGCCCGCACGGAAATCATTGGATGAATCTTAATACCCATACCATGGATTTGGCGCATGTTTCTCGGTTTTTCTTGGTAATTTACGCTCACATACAATGACGATGTATGTGTCACATTGCTATTTCTCCTCTCTCATTCATCTTTCGACACATTACGTTGTCATGACGGGTTGCCTATATCTTTTTACCGGAGCATCGTGATTGATTTTCGTTATTCGCGCCACTTATACTCGTCTCTTGAACGAGTGGCACGGGTCTGCTTGATTGGAATTACCTTTACGACACGCGCGGAATATGTCTACGCACCGATCACTTCGGCAAGGCGTGAAAAGTCATTCTGAGGGCTCAACCACTGGTACGACTGTCAGTGGCAAGAC